GTTTCTCGAAGTTTTGATGACTCACCAATTCAATTTCAACTCTCAGAAAATCGGAATGCTCATACGCTGCACTCTCATAACTTCTTTATACAAGAAAGGACTAAGGCTAACTTGCTCCGCACGTCAATCTCATGGAGTGGGACAAATAGTGAATTACATGGCTGTTGATGCTCAACAGCTCTCTGATATGATATTACAGCTCCATTCTATTTGGTTGACTCCTTTGCAAGTTACTGTCGCCTTGGTGCTCTTGTATAGGTATCTCGGTGCTTCGGTAGTGACATCGGTGTTCGGACTTCTCGGTATATTTATATTTGTGGTAATGGGGACAAAAAGGAACAACAGATTTCAATTCAATGTGATGAAGAATCGTGACTTGAGAATGAAGGCAATGAATGAGATGCTTAATTACATGAGGGTTATCAAGCTCCAAGCATGGGAAGAACACTTCAATGAAAGAATCCAATCTTTTCGTGATATGGAGTTTGGTTGGCTAAGCCAATTCTTGTATTCGATATCCGGGAATATCATTGTAATGTGGTCGACACCGTTGTTGATATCAACACTCACGTTCGCGACTGCACTTTTATTAGGAGTGTCACTTAATGCAGGGGTAGTTTTCACAGCAATAACTATCTTTAAGATCCTGCAGGAGCCCATCAGGACATTCCCACAGTCCATGATCTCACTTTCACAGGCAATGATTTCATTGGAGAGACTGGATACTTACATGATGAGCAAGGAGTTGGTTGATACATCGGTGGAGAGACAGGAGGGTTGCGACAACACTCGGATTGCTGTGGAAGTTAAAAATGCAGGGTTTAGCTGGGACGACGAAACCGGAGAAGGGGTTCTTAAAAATATAAATTTAGAGGTCAAGAAAGGGGAGCTTACCGCCATAGTAGGGACTGTGGGATCTGGAAAGTCTTCTCTCCTAGGTTCCATTCTTGGCGAGATGCACAAAATATCAGGAAAGGTAAGCCTAAGAGCATGTAGTCATGTCTTTATGATGGTTGCATTTGTTATTCATATTCGTATTAATTTTAGAATGGGACTTGGTGAATTCTTGCATAATAGAAACAAACAATGCAACAAAATATTGAAAGATTGCTAAACAAGGTTCTTGTAATGTTTTCATGACAGGTTAAGCTTTGTGGGACAACTGCATATGTAGCTCAATCATCTTGGATTCAGAATGGGACAATTGAAGAGAACATCCTATTTGGTTTGCCGATGAACAGACAGAAATACAGGGAAGTTATAAGGGTCTGTTGTTTGGAGAATGACCTGGAAATGATGGAGTTTGGTGATCAGACTGAAATCGGAGAGCGTGGAATTAACCTCAGTGGTGGCCAGAAGCAACGGATACAACTTGCTAGAGCGGTTTACCAGGATTGTGACATCTACCTTCTCGATGACATCTTTAGTGCCGTCGATGCTCATACTGGGACAAACATATTTAAGGTGAAACTACTATCTGATTCATTTTATTTTAATCCATGTATGAGAAAATTGGTAGAAAAACATGGTGGTTTCTTATAAAATCTTGCTGCGTCTGTTTTTATCTTGTTTAACTGCAGGAATGCGTGAGAGGAGCTCTCAAAGATAAAACTATTTTGCTTGTAACTCATCAAGTGGACTTCTTGCACAATGTTGATCTTATTTTGGTCAGTAAACATGTATCATTGTTTCATGGAAAGGACACATGCAGCCACTCGTGTAAGAGTATTTAAGTTTCGAAAATATTTGTCGTGTAAATTTCAGGTAATGCGAGACGGGATGATAGTGCAGTCGGGGAAGTATAATGATCTACTGGATGCTGGCACAGATTTTGGAGCTCTTGTAGCTGCACACGAAACATCCATGGAACTTGTTGAAGCAGGCAACACCATGCCTGCTGAAAAATCCTCCAAAGCATCCATATCTCCTCGGGGTGTTTCCAACATCGGGGAAGCAAATAGTGAAAACAAGTCTCAAGAACACCCGAATTCAGATGGGGGTGATTCCAAACTAATCAAAGATGAAGAGAGGGAAACTGGTAAAGTCAGCTTCCATGTGTACAAAATGTACTTCACTGAAGCTTTCGGCTGGTGGGGTGTGGCCGCAGTGTTGTTATTATCTCTGTCGTGGCAAGCGTCTCTAATGGCTGGCGATTATTGGCTGTCATATGAAACTTCAGCTGAACATTCTGTTTCATTCAACCCTTCGGTATTTATCTCGGTTTATGCTATCATTGCAGCCATGTCGGTCATGTTATTAACGATGAGATCCTTTTTCGTTACACTTATGGGGCTAAGGACATCACAAATCCTTTTCAGACAAATTCTTCAAAGCATCTTGCATGCCCCTATGTCGTTTTTCGATACTACACCTTCAGGAAGAATTTTAAGTCGGGTAAAGCTTCGAAACTCGTTATAGTATATCGGTATATATCATAGGACTGATGGATTCATTACGTTTAATCCACAGGTATCAACTGATCAGACCAATGTCGATATTTTTGTGCCATTCATTATGGGGATTACCATTTCTCTGTACATTGCAATGCTCAGTATCTTCATAATCACATGTCAATTCGCTTGGCCCTCTATATTCTTGATAATTCCACTCGCTTGGCTGAATTACTGGTATCGGGTATGGTTCTTTCATTTCGATATAAAAATATTCATGTGGTAATTCGCTTTGTTAAATCATAAACCATGTACTGCAGATCTCTTTGATTAAAACAGATGTTTATGTCATAGGCTCACATGATGGATTAAAGAAGGTTCACTTGATGATGCTCATTTCTCTTTGATTGCAGGGATATTACCTAGCATCATCCCGTGAACTAACTCGCCTCGACTCAATCACTAAAGCTCCCGTCATCCATCACTTCTCGGAAAGCATCTCTGGAGTTATGACGATTCGTGCATTCAGAAAGGAGGATAGGTTTTGTCAGGAAAACGTTGATAGAGTTAATTCCAATTTACGCATGGATTTCCACAACAACGGATCCAACGAGTGGTTAGGCTTCCGGTTAGAACTTTTCGGGACCATAGTCCTCTGCCTTTCCACCATGTTTATGATCTTGTTACCTAGCAGCATTGTCAGGCCAGGTAAGCATATGCTACACATGGTTTATTATTCTATTTAAAATCAAGTATATATGTTTCAAGTAAGTGCATACATTGTGGCTTAGTGAAGGCATACATGTCAATACACAATGCAGAAAACTTTTAACTTCTTTTGCATAATACAGAAAATGTTGGGTTATCTCTCTCATATGGATTGTCCCTCAATGGAGTGTTGTTCTGGGCCATATATTTAAGTTGCTTTGTGGAAAATAGAATGGTTTCAGTGGAAAGAATAAAGCAATTCTCAGCTATTCAACCCGAAGCAACATGGCATATCGAAGACTGTCTTCCCCCTCCAAATTGGCCTGCCCATGGCAATGTCGAGCTTAAAGAATTGCAATTCCGGTACCGACCGAACACTCCTCTTGTACTTAAAGGCATTACTCTCAGCATCAATGGGGGTGAAAAGGTCGGTGTTGTTGGTCGGACGGGGAGCGGGAAGTCGACTTTAATCCAAGCTTTGTTTAGAGTGGTTGAACCAACTGGAGGTAAGATAATCGTTGATGGTATAGATATCTGCATGCTGGGGCTGCATGATCTTAGGTCACGCTTTGGGATCATCCCTCAAGAGCCTGTTCTTTTCGAAGGAACTGTGAGAAGCAACATTGACCCTGTAGGACAGTTTTCAGATGAAGAGATTTGGAAGGTAAACAATACATTCCAAGCAACAACATTAGCCACTTCATTTACATGCATATAAGTTATAAATTTACTATCTTTGCAGAGTCTTGAGCGATGCCAACTTAAAGATGTGGTGGCATCGAAACCCGATAAATTCGATTCTTTAGGTAAGAGTCTTGAGTATATTTCTATTCATTGAAATGGTGCCTCAGAATAACCAAAACCGTGCGTGTGTGTATGTTTCAGTGGTTGACAATGGTGACAATTGGAGCGTGGGGCAAAGGCAACTTCTATGTTTGGGGAGGGTGATGCTTAAGCGCAGTAGGCTTTTGTTCATGGACGAGGCTACCGCATCGGTCGACTCGCAAACGGATGCTATAATACAAAAGATTATAAGGGATGATTTTGCGGCCTGCACAATTATCAGCATTGCTCACAGAATTCCCACTGTCATGGACTGTGACAAGGTTTTGGTCGTGGATGCAGGTGCGTGCCCATACTCATTATGATCATGACCATTGTTGATGTGCGAATCGTCCAACTGATGTTTTTTTTTGTTCGAACAACACAGGAAAGGCAAAAGAATTTGACAAGCCATCACGCTTGCTTGAGAGCCCAACAGTGTTTGCAGCACTGGTTCAAGAGTATGCCGACCGATCTGCTGCAGCTTAACCCATCTATAATTTAGAGAAAATGTACTATTTAGCACCAGAATAAAATTTAGAGAAGAGATGAAGTTTGTATGAATTTCTCTATATTAGACTGATTCTTCATCACTGAATTATGACCATAATGAAAACCTTTTCAAGTTTTTCTTCTCAGAGAATCAAGCATTACCCGTTTTCATTTAGGAATAAACTTTATAGGAAGATAATAGATGATTTCTACTCTAAAAATGCTAATATTTAGTTTTAGTCCCTTTAAGAATATAAATTATTACGATTTAAAATTTTATTTTGTTTCCTAATAATTTACAATTTAATCAAGCTCCTCCTAAAATATCATCTGTCTTTCGCCCTTGCGGGAGGGAAAAAATAGGAATTGTGTGTTATTTTTTTATGTTTAAATTATTATTATTTGAAATAATACTTTGACTTTGATCGATGTTATATTTACCTTTTCGGTCTTTAGTATTTGATTTCAATTCAGAATTAAGAAGGTTCAGTTAAGCCTACTTTTCTCCCGATTCGGCTCAAACTTGGTTAACAAATTTTATAATGTTTTCTTAGAGAATTTAAGTCATTATTTAAATGGTAATAGTTCATGATAGAGAGAATAGTACAAGAAACTAGAAAGGGACACGTAGCAATTGGTTTTCACATACAAGAATCAAAATTTGAACTCGACAACATGGGAAATTTGTCTTCCCATGTACAAGAATGGACGCTCGATCATTTCTTTGCTCCTTTTGCTTCTAACCCTCCTTTCAAGCTCTTCATCGTTCACGCCAAGCCTACTCCTTCTGTTGTTGGTATCGCTGGACCTGGTATCTGTTTTCCTTTTTGTATCTTAGATTCAAGTGCCTTGTGTTCTACTTCTAATTTACCTATTATTGTAGGAGCTGCTGATGTATTGCCCCATGTGGATGCGGATTTGAGGAAGATCGTCGCCAAGGTCGTGGAGAAGGCCAAGGAACTCTGCGTTAGTAAATCGGTATGCATCCATCGTCATACATCTAAATTTAGGGTTGATTGATTCCTCCGTCCATCCCTGCCCTGAATCTGATTATACACCTGTATGTATGCAGGTGCATGATGCAGTTGTGGAAGTCGATGCCAGGAATGTTCTTTGTGAGGCGGTAGAAAAACACAATGCCTCAGTGCTCGCTGTTGGTAGCCATGGTTATGGCGCTATAAAGAGGTAAAACTCTAGTGTATCTTATATCAGTTGTATTTCAGTCCAGGTTTTAACAAGATTTATCATATATTCTATTTCAGGGCTGTTCTTGGCACTGTGAGTGATTATTGTTCTCATCATGCACATTGCTATGTGATGATCGTGAAGAAGCCTAAGACCAAACATTAATCCGCCAAATAGAGTCGAAGAATGGATGGTGATTGCTGCCTGATTTTAGTTTACCTAATAACCATGATGTTGCACACTGGATTGTAATACCAATAATGCTGGATGTTGATTATTGGTATAAATGAGCACATTTTACACTTGTTATTGTAATATTTTTTACTTAATGTATCATGCGATGCAAGTGTTCAAATAGTTTCTTATTAGTTGTACAAATAATACTAAATATGATTACGGATGCGATTGCGGATAGATAGATATATTTTTTTGATTAAGCAAGCTGATTGCATATATATATATATATATATATAAATATTAAACCAAGGTGATTACAAAATAATTGCAGATAAATATATAAAGGTGTAATTTTCAAGATAATCTAATGATTCAGATAAGAATGATGATATGTATAACCATATCTCAAGCATTGGTGTGATGTTCTTACAAAACCAAATTGAGGAGCTTTGGAAAAGCTCAAGCCTAGTGACACGAAGTGAATTATAATGAATGTAAAAGGCAGCTTACTAGTAATTTTGATATGCTGCCATTTCAAGTGTACCAAGGCAAATCAGTCCAAGCACCAGAAACATGTCCATTCTCACAGACAAAAGCTCGAACAACTGGCTCGCCGTCGTCATGGTATCCGAAAACCTGCCTCAAACAGAAGGCGGAATGCAGATCCCACGTTTCTTTGCACGACCAAAAGGCGCAATTGAGATCTATCTTGCTCCGGTTTATATCGTTTATCGTCCTCCACACCCGGGATTTCTTGAAGTTCTTGAATACCCATCTGAAGAGCATGTAATTTTGCTTCTACGTGTGAACGCACCAGGGCCAATCGCAAATGTACAGGCAATCCCCTCGGAACCGGCTCGCCAATAACTTGTTCCCTTGTTCCCGGCTTAAGTTCCAAACGCCGGTTGCTAAATGGGACCTCTGCGATCTACAAATCTTCCTTCTCTTACAAACCGGTAATTCATGCCCGATTGTAGTAGTCCCGGTTTCTATAGTTTCCATTGGATAATCGTCCACTGAATCGGACGCGTTGTAAACAGTGTCGAAATAGAGATCATCGAAAAGAGACCAGCAACAATCGGATCCTGGGATATCGGCTTCCGAGTTCGAGTTCAGGTTCGGATTTGAATTGCCTTCCGCTCTGCTCGAATAGTGCTCCGTGGAAGTCGTTGAGGCATGGGAATTAGCCGGCTTGTGATAATTCTCATCGGGACCGAGCTTGCGCTCTAGGCCGAAATCAGAATTCTCAAGAAGGATGCCGGCCTGGAGGAGGCCAGGGAAGCAGGCGGAAAGCTTGTGAAGGGATGCCCAACCGCCGGGTGTGGCGGAGGAGGAAGTGGAGAGAAGATCGGCGGAGACAGTGGGGATGGTTTTGCAGCATTTAAGCTTCAAGCAGGTGTTGCGAATGAGAGGAGAACTTGGTGCAGACACAAGCGAGACTTGCCCAGCTCGTGGGATCGTCTTGGAGCTTCGAAAATATGTTTAGAACCACATCCTCCGGAAGCCTATAGAACGGCGTCTCCGTCATCGTCCTGAGTATCTAATAATAATAATAATAAAAGTTGGTATTGCTGGTGTTTCAACTTCCTGTTTTGCTTCCTAGGAAATTACAAGGTGCGAAGAACCCATAAATAGGTTGAATGAAGGAATTAGTGGCTGTGAAGGACCGTCGGCGTGGGGATAGCATATTGTTTCGACAGCTAACTTACAGGCTGCTTTGTGGTTGTGGATTACACAAACTGACGAATAGCGCTACGAATCGTCTAGTCCAGTCGTTCTTCTTTATTTAATCATTTCTTTTTCAAGATCCGGATGGATAAAGCTGTTCAAACTAATCTTTTATTTAACTAATTCATATATAAGGGTTAATTCATTACATACCCCTAAATCACTATCCAAGTTTTAAATTATTCCTTTCTTAAAGGAATGAATTTATTTGAATTTGTAAAATATCAATAATATCTCATCAGTTTAATACTCGTTTAAACATTAAAGTTAATTTAAATTTAACATAGGCCTGTAAACGAACCGAACGCACACGAACGGAAGTATGTTTATGTTCGTTCATTTAATAAATAAACGAATATAAACAAACACGAACATAAACGAACAATTGTTTTTGTTCATGTTCGTTTATTAAGAATATAACTTGTTCATGTTCGTTCATTTAATAAATAAACGAACACGAACATAAACGAACACGAACATAAATGAACGCGAACATAAAACGAACATAAACGTTAGAGACCCTACCTTCCATTGTTCTTTCATGATAAATAGTCGACAATGCAAATCAACCAAATCTACAGTGATAAATAGCGTAAGAGCTGATTAGCAGTGATGAAATGTTTGAAGATATCAAATATTTCGATCGATCTTTTAAAGATATTAAATGATTCACACGAATTTAATTTAACGCTACAACATTTATCTTAGTGGTCCATGATTACATATAAACAATCATTTTTCACTACTTTATTCTAATAAATTCGCCGGCTAAAAGTTTTGTGACATTAATGTCAGACTTTAGTGAGGTTTGTTAATAATAGTCTTTTTCGTTGTGAGAGTAGACAATTTAACAACATGAAGATTTCGAACGGTACAAATTGGACTACAAGGCAATAACATAGATCCGAAATCCCTTTGATGCTACATATCGTAATTGATATTATTGCTAAACCACCATTCAAAATTTTAATATACCTAAAGTCTACTCCACAACTAAAGGTCACACAAGAACTATGAAAACAAAAGTTCATTGCCAAAGTGTATTTTCTACTTATTAATGGGTTCTTCCTGGAAAACACTACCTATTACACTCTTTTTCAGAAATTGCATAGAAACATTTGTTTTGTTTTCTGGCAAATTCTATATATTTTTCTCTTTACTGATGCTCATATACTTCCGATTGTTACATTTATCTTCCTATCTATTTCTAGAAAGAAGTATGATGCTTTCTTGAGTTTTAGATGTGAAGATACCCGCAACAACTTTACATATCAACTATTAAGCCAAATAAAATAGAGAAAGAGATGAAAACAGACATGTAAAACTTCAGATTGTACTATAATATAACTTGTTTTGAAGTTTTCAGCGACCGTCTCCACTCTATAGTGAACACTAGGGTTTGGGAAAAAAAGGGGAAATGAATATAGGTGCGAGGTGTCTCACGGGTTAACATATTGGATTTAATCTCCAAATAAAATTGGGTTAATTATAGAGTTAGTCATCAGAATATTAGATTAATTAATATTTTTAAGATACTTACAAATTGGTCACCAAAATTGATTTAAGAATATTGAGTTAAACATAAATGAATGAACATAAACGAACATAACCGAACATAACCGAACGAACATAAACGAATATAACCGAACGTTCACAAACGTAAATGAACGAACGAGACTTATGTTCATGTTCGTTCATTTAATTAAACGAACACAAAATCTTATTCATGTTCATTCATTTAATAAATAAACGCACATAAACGAACTTCCCGCCACACGATTCACGAACGATTCGCTAAACGTTCAGTTCATCCTAATTTAACATAAGCTACATACTGTAAATATCTGTCGTGTTAAAGAACTTAATTAATACAATTATAAGACTCATTAAAATTTAAACAGGTGAAGCGTACCTAAAGACAAGAGTGATTGATTTTCAGAACTATGATGTCATTTTCACGTCAAATCAGAAGGCCCGCAACATCAAATCAAACTTTGATTCCACCCAAAGCATAACTTGCATCAAATTTCACTATAGGATTAAATGGACGTGAATTCTGTGAATAGTTTGAAGGGCCAAGTGTCAATAGCAGCATGCATAAAGCCATAATGAAGAGTTGCACTTGGAGAAGAAAGCTTAACGTAAAGCACGACATTACCACACATAGAAGGTAATAAATTGTTATCTAATGCATCAAGACGACATCAGCCAATTGCCCACACACTATCGAATACCAATCAACAAAGAGTCGACGAGACGGAAAGAGAATTATGTTTCCGCACATCTTGACAATTTCATGTGCTCACTTATCAACTTTGTCCCCTCAACAATACAATGACGTGAAGCCTCCAACACCACTTCAGCCCCCCCAATTGTCAACTCTTGGCCTCAATAATTGTTACCACTCTCACTGCTAATTTATTCTCAAACCAAATATTTCCTAAGATTATGGAGCTTAAGTGTTTTTTTGCTTCTTGAAAATAGTTTTCATTATATATAATAATCTTTTAGACAATCCACGTAGCAATGGAGTTAAAAAACAATAGTAAAATGATTCAAATAACAGCAAACTTCGGCCATGAAATCCAGAATGATTGGTACACTTTCAATAAGTTCTTGCCCCCCCACTGCTTTAAGTTTCATAGGATTTTCCATCAGCTTAAGGTCACACGTCAGCTCTGCATGGTAACTTACCTGTCAAACAAAAAACAAACATGAAGATAAATGGACGGCAAAGCATTGGTCACAAAAATACAAATATATATATATATTTACACACCTTGATAAACTCTTGCTCCTACTCCTGCTTCTACTCCCACTTGGACTCCTGCTAACACTCCGTCTTTTAGGACTCTTGCTAACACTCCGTCTTTTAGGACTCTTGCTAACACTGTGTCTTTTAGGACTCCCGCTAACACTGCGCCTTTTAGGACTCTTGCTCCTTCCTTTTCCGCGCTGCTCAGAGTAATGTAATATATATAACAAAATATAACAGTAGTCAATCAAAAGGAGAGACTAACAACCGAGTTAGATTAGATTAAATTTAAAAAACTGCCGATTGGACAGAACAGAAACCTGTTCTCCCAAAGCTTTAAAAATAGGCAACTTCAATTTCGAACTTTTTACTAAAAATATGCAAAAAATAACTTACAGAAGGCAACGGAGATCTTGATCTTGATCGAGATCTGCAAAAGTTCCAGAAAGAACCCAAGTTTAAAAATCAACATGTTCCTTTTTTAACAACTTTTATGTCCAAGAGCCTTGATGCCCCTTCCACGTCAGAATCACCACATTCAAAAGGAATAAAAAGGAGAATGCACAGATCTATGGCAGTTAAATAAGGAAACAAAGAATAAGTACAAGGCCATCTCGGAAACCTGCCCACACAAGGAATAAAACCTAATCTCGCAAAATAAAATCCTCAAAATTTAAATTCCAATATTTCGACACCAGTGGATATAGAATGAGCAAGCTCCTGTGCCACCGAATTCCATAGTCAATCCACATAGCATGTCCTATTAGCTTGGCAATATCTGGAGCTGAAAATGAAAGTGAAATGTTCTACTGCTCAAAGTGATGACTTGCAAATCCCAGTGCATTTACACTGAAATCCAGCTCTACTATTGCAATTCCTTGAAAATAAATCCAGCTGATTCCTTAGTTACAAATCTAGCACCCATGGGCATGTATGATGCTATGTATATTAGACAAGGGACAGGAGTGATTTTAAGCTGCCCATCTAAAAAACACCATACTTCTGCAACCATACGAGTTTCATGCAATTTGAAACATATCACCACTAGATCCCAATATCCAATCCCCAGTTTGCAGCATATATCCATATCTAAAATACAAGCAAGGCAATTTTCATGACAAAAGAAAGAAAATGTAGTTCAATAGCTGGGATACAATCCTCACCAAGTCTCACAGACAAATCATCTTCCATGACAAGGAAAGCATGCAAGCCAAAAGCATAAATTCACGCTTCACAGCCACGACAGAAGTTGATTCAAAATTTTATCTTAACATTGATAGCCCAAGTAGCCCCATGAACGAAGTAGCACACAAACACATTCCTTTACCTTACACAAGAAACTAAGTGTACGAAGTAATAACCAATTGACATTTGATTCAAAAATTCAAAATTTAAGTTCTCAAATAAAATCGGTGTTCACAGTTAATTTGGAGTGTGTACTATGCTCTATTTCTAAACAACATATTTCCTATATGTTTAAGGGGCAAGTGGATACAAAAAATTTTGACAGTGAACAAGTATAAAGACAGGATGCAACAATAATGTACAGCAAACAAAAAATTCCATGTTAGCTAACTAAATATTCCTTCTTCAAAATGAGTGCCTTCAGCACTTCCGCTTCCTAAGGAAGCCGCCATTATTGCATTGCAACTTCCATTTTCATTTCAGAATCCAAAAGTACTGTAACCTTGAAGCCCAGACCGTATACTTATCTAAAGAAGAGGCTTCATTTTAAAGAAATATTCAAATGCAGACAAAAAGTCCATTGCAGGGTCAATAAATCTGAAACATTAGTTTACAAAAAACTGAAATATTATCGATGAGCTGGACTGCAAAGCTAGTTGAGGAGATTATCATCAGTAAAAACCAAAAACAACCAGGAACAATGTCAGATACCATTATCCTCAGTACGGCAAAAAAAATTATTCAACGAAAAGGGGGAAGCAAGTATACCCTGAAAAAGAACGAGACCTTGATGCAGGGGAGGAACGAGACCTTGATCTTGACTTTGCAGGTGACTTGCGTGAAGGTTTGGTTCTAGGAGATTTGCTGCATAACAATTGCAAGGTTAGCAAGCAACTGCTTAGCCACAAATAAAATTTCACATAGCAAAGAATAAGAAAAACCTGCGGCTAGTGCTCCGACCACGAGAGCGACTGCGACTATGGCTTTGGCTTCTTGAGAGAGAACGACCACGACTGGGACTTCTAGAGGAATCTCTCTTAGAATCATATTCCTTAACCTAAAGATAAAAAGCTTTAGTAATAAAAATTGAAAATCACAACAGTAAAGGGGAAATAGCATTAAAAAGGTAAACACATAAACTAAGCTTTAGAATCTTATATGTTAGTTGGAAAATTGAATAAGATTCCTTCAGTTTCTCAAAGACTAAGTTAAGATCATGTACCCGAACATAAGCCCGAGAAAAGGCATTCCGAAATTCAGAGTCGTCAAGTTTCTTGATCTGCAAAAAGAGACCAGGAAATTTTGTACATGATCATATTTACTCAGTGGCGTTAACTAAGTTATGACAAGGTCTTCCACACTAAACAGAGTCGAAGGTAGGTTACTTACAGCATACTTCATGTCATCATAATTGGTGTAATCCACAATTCCCGTTGTCCCTGATAAACCAAGAAACAATTTTATCAGTAAGTATTTTATAAAGTGGTTTAACTTTCATTTGAGAAAACAGAAAAGACTAGTTTTAAATAAAATTACACATAAAAGCTAAAGGACCAGCCTACGACTATGAACATCAAATACAATGTCTTACCACCACCATCACGGAAAACTTGGGAAAAACAAACATCCCCGGCTCGACGCATGTGATCCTGAGTTAAACACACGACAAATATTTGTTTCAATGTCTTATATTATGGGTTACTCTCTTTTTTTTGGATTTGAAGGTTGACAAATTTAGCAAAATCAGCTTTTACCTTAAGATCCTGCCATGAAGCTGAAGATGGCAATCCAGTGATTAACACTGTACACCAAAGCAATCCATTAAAGAAATAACATGAGTAGCCTAAAACATATAGCACACAAAAAAGCAAGCATAAAAAGATAACAAACCACGATATTCAGAACGTTTGGCAGGTCCACGCCCACGCCCACGCCCACCTCCATAACTGCTGTGACGATCTGAAGATGAACGCCCACGACCACCATGTGCAAGTTCAACCTGCAATTAATTCATAAGATGAGAATAAAGCTCAAAATGCCAAGTTCATGACACAGTGACTAAATGCAAAACAAAACCTGAACAAGAAAGAAAAGGAAATAACCCGCAAACTCTGTCCTCCAAAATCATAGCCATCACGACCACGAATAGCATCTTCAGCATCTCGAGCCTCTTCAAACTAGGAAAAAGAAGTAACATCATGTCAAGACACAAAAAACCCAGAAACAACCCCCACGCCCCACCAAAACATTAGCACCTCAACTCACCTCAACAAAAGCATAACCTGGAGGTCTTGGTGGAATCTTCAGGTCAATATGTACTATGGAACCATACTGCAATGAAAGCAAAATGTAAAAAATTTCAAGCTTACAGAAAACTTACTAATCTAAGAAAGGCATATCATGAGATTCAATGAAACCCATATCAAGCAAGACAAACTCAATAAAAGAAACAACTGTGGTTCCACTCCATAAATTTAAAAGAGCCAACTTTTGTTTCACAAGTATACTCAAAGAAGCATGTATGTAAAACACGAGAGAAGCATGGTCCAAGTACAGCTACATCTGGGTTTTCCTTATATATTGCTAGCCACAATTAAGTTTGAAATTTGTTGATTAGTTGTCATTACTTGCAGCCTTCTACCCTCATTGATATTAGCATACCTGAGTTGGCAGTCTTCACAGTTTAATATCTTAAAATTTCAATATTCCCAAAAAATCTAATCCTAAGCATAGAATCCAAAACATAAATCTTCAAATTTTGCATCGTTAACTTCAAAGTTCATATAAAAGACAACTTGTTTGCGCCAAATCTACTCCTAAAAATGTATTTCACGATTAAACATAAAAATTTAGCGTTTTTTCTCTCAGAAGACAAAGTTCCATTTAACCTAAAATAATAAATACCTAATTATATGATTACAACAAAAATTAAAATAAAAGGAAAGCTAGAGCTTTCCCAAGTATAACCTTGTAAAACAAATCTTCCACTTCCCTCTCGCGAACATCTCCAGGAAGATTCCCAACATAGAGAGTTCTGCTCGAACGGCTACTCATTTTTCTTCTCTCTCTTCCCTGAAAAGTACAAAAGGAAATTTCTAGAGAAGGCCTTTAGATTTTAAATATTTAAGGAAGGATGCATTGATTTAGGGTTTACCTGCGAGGTTAATGTTTCTTTTCTGAGATGGATGTCTTCGGAAACGAGATTGTTTAGGGTTTTGAAATTTGAGAGAGGTGAAGGCTGGGCGATGAAAATAAGAAAAATATTTGGGTGAGGTAAAGTTAGTATGTAGTGCGTATACAGAAGTTGTTGTGAGCTTGCAATCAATGGCGTCCGACCTCATTTTTAATAGATCTGTCCAGCTGTATTTGTAGAGGGAAAATGCTGACGTACACTCATTGAGTTTCCCCAACTGATTTTGTCAGCTTATATAGTTTCCAACTGGTAAAATTTTAAGTCCATAGTTTCATTATTTTTAGTTTTTCAGTTTAATTTTGGCAGACATTTAATTTAAGATTAAAAATCGATAAAAATAGATATAATTGAAAATGTCATAAAAAATTTCTTAAATTCAACCGAAAATATTAAAAATTATATAATATTTTAAGATCAACCTAAAACATTATATTTTTATTATATTTTTATTGCATCGATTTTCGTTGTATTTTATCCTTAAATTAGATTACTGTTTCTTAGACTTTCCCGTTTAATTTCCCATATATTTCGTAATGTTTTAAAGATAAATTTTATATATTAATGGTATGATGTTGAATTTTTTTAGGCATAATATAAAAACAAGTGTCCAAATTATACTTAAATTCTCATAATAGGTGCTTAATCTATTTTTTATTCATCCAGTTGCCTAACGTTACAAGCGTTACCATTTTAGGTGTTCGAATCATCAACACCGTTAATTTTTCCGTTAAGTGACACATGTCACAATCTGGTGATTTTGAAATTTACTTTTTTAAAATATTATTATATTTATAAAAAACATAATTTCTCTTAAATTATAAAAAAAAAAACTCAAAATTCTTAAACCCCAAATCCTATCCTTAACCCCTGTCATCGCCTTTTTCGACTATGACCACCGCCGCCGATGTGGCTCATGTCATCCTCCTAGTCATAAGTTATCATTGATTGACCGTCAAGATCGCATGGGATTGTTATGTTCATCTAAGGGTTTGCGGGATATAAAACATCGATTCGTCGTTGATCGTTCATTGATCGGTCACGATTTCATGGGGATTTTAGTTGTCGGGGGGAGGTGAGGTCAGATGGAGCTTTATCGACGACAAAGAGTAACGGTCAGCGTGAGTTTATGGGTTGAAATTAAGGTTTTTAAAGTTTTAGGGTTATTTTAAAATGTTTATGTTCCTCTTTAAAAGTATATATATAATTTTATTTTTTAAATTTTAAATAAAATTTTTAAAATAACCATATTGTGACACGTGTTAACTTCGTTGATGTTTGAGTACCTAAAATGGTAACGTTAGCGGGTCAGCCAGAGGTAGAAAAAAAAGAGGGAACATCCTTAAGGGATTTCAGGGAGTATTATTCGGCTTCGGGCACATGGCAAGGTCCTACCAAAGCCTCGTACGCTTGGCCCTCTCTGGGCTACCATACACGGCCGTAACTAGAATAGTAGTAGGAGAGTTATTAAACGAAACTTTAGAGTGAATAACTGAGGATGCACCGCCAGAACCTCAACCGATATGGAATCTTTCCTGAGAAGCCATATTCCCCCGGACAAGCCAATCGCTTCCACACGAAAGGAATTGTGGAAATCCAGCTTTGAAATAACCTGGTGGTCCGCTTTATGGCCGCTAATACGGGGCTCCATAATGGCCACCATGCTCGGATTATAATCTTGCATATAATCCTAAAAAACTTTCGGGAATTTACTCCCGCCACACGCTTGACAATTCTACGTAAAAAGAGAAAAATCCATAACAAAATTAAGGGGAGAAGTCATACCTCTACTGGTTCGTACCATTATTATCGGTAGGAAAAACCAAAACATCAGATCTAGGACCGACTTGAAGCTCGAAATTCTGGGATAATTCTTGCATTTTATCTGTAATAGTAGATTTTCCAGTAAGTTTGTTCTTAACCTTCAGCCCTTTGTTGCGAATGACATAGGGATAAGGACGATCCTTTGATTTTATCACCAATCGAATACTTTGATTCCGGGGAGCTTGAGCCCGACTTCCATCATTTAGGAGCTGGCATTCCCGAAATAAGATAGCCGAGTGCTTCTTCGGGTTCAACGACGTAGGGCTTAGCTGAGCCGACAATCCTGTGGAGCTATCAAAAATAGGATTATGGCTCGAAGCGAACTCAGTTCCATTAAGATTTACCGTGTTTTGAACCAGCGGTCTCAATGTGGAACCTGACATGTGAGGAGCTCCCGGTGACTGCCTCGGCTCTTTGCTTGTAGCTGGGTGGGCACGTGTCATGGGGTTAACTTCCTCATGCAGGGTTTAAAATAGCGGGACGAAAACGTAATATCGTCCGTTATTTCGCGGTAGTGTCACCGTCCGAAACCGAAATATTGGAAAATAACGGTGGACAGCGGATTCACGCCAAAATCGGTCAATCGCGTCCGCAATCTAATGGGTAACGGTGAATAGCGCCGATAACGGGACGCTATTACTGTTAATAACGGTGGCCGACGATCGAGAGGCTTGGAGCCTCCATGCTGACCGTCGTTCGTGAGATGGAAAGGGAGAGAAATAGAAAAGATGAAATACACGGGTATTGTTTTAGGTTATATTAATTTATTTTTGGATTAATTTCATTTAAGTCCCCCATATTTTAGTCGCATATTTGTATTTTTATCATTGAGTTTGGACTATTATGAATTTTAATCTGGATCATAGGGTCTGATCATGATAATTTACCTTATTATTTTGCTGAAGTGTTTATTAAAAAGTTTTAGGATTAATCCTTCTTAGGTCCCTAACATTTATGCACCTTTTTATGAAATAGTCACCCCTTCCTATTTTTTTAATTATTTTGAATATGATGCTCTAGTTTCATTAGTTTTTATTTTAATCACTCATTTATATTTTTACTTCGAAATTAGCTGTGATAATTTTATTTTCTTTTAATTTGGTCACTGTTTTTATTTATATAATCTACTCACTGTTATTATTTTATTCTGATCTCTATGTTTTACTTTATTATATTTTAGTCATTTTAATTTTATATTTTAATATTATGAACTATTTTATTTTAGGCCTTATATTATGATATTTTAAAATAAATAAATACCTACTTAGAAAAGTGTAAAAAATCAAATAATCTATATTGTTTATGTTTTTGTTTTGTTTTCTTTGTTAAACTATATATATATATATATATATATATGTCAATTTCGCTTAGAAAACATTTTAAAAATTATTAAAATGATTAATTATAATTATAATTATTTTTAGTATGTTTTAAGATAAATTATGTAAAATTTTAAAAAAAATCACGATCTTTGAAACCGTGTACTCATGCATTACGTGAATATTTTGAAAAACAGACGAGCCTTGGGAGTAGGGTTGCACAAAAGTCGGATTTCAATCCGATCCGGATCGGTTTTTATTCGATCCGGTTTTTTCCCATAGAAAAAAAACCGGTTTATAAAATAACCGGTTCAGTTTCTAATCGGTTTGGAGGGCTGGATATCCTAACCGGTGTAACCGGTTTCGGTTTTAAAAAAACGGTTTTTTAAAAAATCGGTTATAAAAAAACTGATTTTAATATTATTAAAATTACATCGTCATCAATTGCAACAAAGTTTACGATAATTGAAATACTTAAATACTTCCAAGTTTGATAAATTCAAATACTTAAAAACTTTCAAGTTCGATAAATTCAAATACTTAAAAACTTCAAGTTCGATAATTGAAATAAAGTTTAAAAATAAACTACATTGCCATCTCTTCTTCATCATCTTCGCCTTCTTCGTTTGGAGGGGATATTCCAAGTTCGACTTCTTCAATGTGTAAGTTTACTTCCAAATCGGCATCAATTGCATCTTCTAGGGTGGTGGTATGTTGCTTACGAGCCGCTCCATCCAAATAATCCTTTAAACAAATGCATACTTCCACCGACTCGTGACTTAGTCTTGATCTCCGTTGCGATATAACCCTGCCACTAACAGAAAAAGCGAATTCCGAAGCTACCGTAGAAGCTTGGACGGTTAGTAAATCACGGGCCATGGCGGCTAGAATCGGAAATTGTGCTTTCTTTTCTTTCCACCAAGCCAAAATATCCAAACTTTCAAACTCTTCAAATGTCATTTTTGATAGAAAATTGCGTGACATGTAATTTCCCAACTCGCTACTTGGGGTGGTAGTACGTGATCGTTTAGATTGGGAATTTACAAGAGTGTTAAAAAGATTCAAATTTATGTTACTTGGACGTCTACTAGATGATTCCACATTCATTCTCATTTGATCGTGTATTACACTACTTGATCCGTATTTAGTTAAATAAATTGCAAACATGTCTCGAAAACATTTGTTAAAATAATTTATTTAGTTTTGGACAAAGTTGGGTTCATCATCGGTTAGATTAAAAACAAACGCAATTTGTTCAATTAGTGTTTCAACCCTGCCAACATTTAACGTTGGGTTTAAAGCGGAGACACAAGTAAAAATGGAGGGAATCTCCTTAAAATATTTTAAAAGTTTTTCCTTCATTGCAAAGCCAATTTCTTGAAAAACTTCGGTTTCAAATTCAAAGTCATTTAGTCGGGTAGCCAACAAAAATATTTGATTAAGAACCAACGGGCTAGTAGGGTAATAAACACCAGATAAAAAAGTTGTTGCATTTTTTAAAACCCCAAGCAAATCAGTTATTTTGGCTATAGTTTCCCAACTCGAATCCGGATAAATGTTTGGGACATGACCCCTCTCGAAAAGCCGATCGTGAAATGTTTGCAATGTTTCCCTTTGCCTTAAGGCAGTATGCATCATCATCCAAGTTGAGTTCCAACGAGTTGGACAATCCAAATTATGACCCAAAGTTTTTTTATTAACGGACTTACAAAATCGTTTATAATCATTTAATCTTTTGTTGTTGTTACAAAGAACCGATTTTATCATTGCTTTAAATTCTAATCTAATCGGCTCAATAACCTCCAAACCGGCTTACACGGATAAATTAATTATGTGTGCAACACAACGGGTATGAAAAAACGCACCGTCTAAAATCGGTGAAAGTAATATTTTCAATCTTGAAACCGCGTTTGTATTATTCGATGCATTATCAAATGATATAGAAAAAATTTTATTTTCTAATTTATAAAGACAAATTACCCTTTTTAAAAGTGTAAATAAATTAGCACCAGTATGCGGCTCACCGAATAATTCAAGCGCGATTGTTCTTTTCATCATTTGCCAATTATTTTGATCTAACCAATGTGACGTAACGGCTAAAAAAGAATTTCTGGTATTATGAGGGGAACTCCAAACGTCACATGTAAGCGACACACCATAACGGTGTTCTTGGTATCCTAAAATCATTTTTTCCCTCGTCGTACGCCACATTTTTATAGCATCTCTTCTAAGGGTAGTACGATTTATTTGAGTATAACGTGGTTGCATTAGTTGTTGAATTGTTGTCGTGAAATCTTCATCATCAAAGTGGTCGAACGTCAATGCTTTTGTAATCACGAACTTTGTAAACGCTTCTCGTAATTTTTCGTTGTCGTAAACAAAAACACCACCTTGCGGTGTAAGATTCGATTTACTAGGATCCGATCTTGAGCGAAGTGTCTTGCATGATTTTGTCAAATGGTTCTTCAACGTTGTGTTTCCTTCCGATGCAATTAACTTTAGACAAAGTTTACAACGCGCCATCCTCGAGCCATTTGACATCTCACATAAATCGTAGTTATCCCAAATATCTTTGTTTCGAGTGTGTTCGATCACTCTCACGACTTCAATGTTTCTCCCGACGGAAGATTCAACCGTGTTACTCACGATGAACAAAAAATTACAAAAATAAGATTTGAGAGATGTTTAGGTATTGTGTAATAAGATTTGAGAAAGTTGTAATCAACCAAGTACATCCCCAACCTATTTATACATGTTTAGGGTGGTAAAATAGTAATTTTTTAAAGAAAAAAACGGTCAAGAACGGTCACAACCCCCCCCCCCCCAACGGCTATATTAACGGCTAGTTTTTTAAACACAGACCGGTTTTTTTCAGATAAAAACCGGTTTTTTAACCGATTTTTTATCCGGTAAAAAAACCGGTCTAGGTTTTTTTTTTCCAAATCGGTTAAAATAACCGGTTTAAAAAAATCCGATCCGGTTAAAAGAAAATCAGTTTTTCCCAAATCCGGTTTCGGATATTTTTTCGCAAAATCAGATATTCGGATTTTTTGTATACGTCTACTTGAGAGTTGCTGCTGATGCGCCACGTGGCAGAGCGTTGACTTTTATTGTAGCAACGGCCGGCTCCTTAGCTATACTCTCCTTATTATTCACAACTTTGGCAACTGCTGGCGCATTAATACCGGTCTTATTTCCTCCAGTGATAGCTCCATCTTGGCCGCTGCTCTTACCATTATTATTTCTGTTCACACTTGAATTTGCAAATCTTGTGCCGGATTCTCTGGGATTCTCTGCAGTTTCCTTTTTCGGATTATCCTTCCCTTGCGTCCGTCGGCGTCTTCTCTCCACCACCATCCACGGGCCGTAAGCCGCCTCCTCTGGGTTGGATTCGTTAATAGCAGGGTTCGAGATAGGATTGCCAGTCGAACTTGACGGCTCGTTGTTCCCTGGAGGAGCGTTCGTGTCAGTTGGAGCTTGCGGCTTGCCATTGTGATTGCAAGCGTCTTGGAGATGCCCGAACCTGCCACAAGCAAAGCAAATGGTTGGCAAATTTTCATACTCAACATTTTGTAGTCGGTTACCAATGTAGACTCGAGACACGAGAGGAGCCTTCAGGTCCACATAGACCGCCACCCTCGCATAGCATCGCCTATTGCTCGTCCCTTTGTGGAAATCAATTTTAGCGACTTTTTCGACGAGATTTCCAATACTATTAAGGATCTTCTCATGGTACATTTATTCCGGAAGTCCCGGAAACCGTATCCAGGCAATCACCATTGAAGGATATGGTTGGGATGTATTTTATTTTATAAAATCAAATTTTACATATGTATTGGAGTCTCAAGTTCAAACACCACTTATATAAAGATGTAAGTATCCATCAGATTGAAAATCTTTAAATAAATATTAAATTATATTTACCTCAAATTTATTAACAATATAATATAAAATAATTAATTAAATCTATTTATCACATTATATTCACATCATCATTTCATATTTATCTTCGCATCAATAAAATTAATTATTATATCAGTAAACTACCAACGACATCAATATAATTATTAAACATTCTGTTTAATTTCATTTTGTAATAAACTAAATGAAAATGATAAAATATGCATGTAGTATTTGAAGTAATTTAAAGTCATTTTAAATCCTAAGCCTTCTGTTTATATTTTTGTTAGTTTACCTAAGATAATATGCATTCAAAACTTTTTTTATTTATTAACAACACACATCTTACATGTCGTTAGATGTACTCAAAACATGTCGATCAACTATCTTAAGCCTTTTGTTTGTTGATTAATAGAGTTGTATGTTTTCCATCAATATTTGAAATCAAATAATGCTACCCTTTTAATTTAACAGTTGGAAAGAGAAGAGTCTTATCGCATGATTAAAAATTTAAATTTTTAAAAATATATAAATAGATACGTAAGTATTCATGGAATCGAGAACTCAGAGACTTGTAATTTAAATCATTGGCAGTAGGTGATGTAAATGGATTATGTGATTAATATAAATGAATTACCAAGACAATGAAATTGATCAGAAATACAAATAAAAATAGAAATATTACATCATCAAAAATCTATTTCGTTAACAAAGAACAGAGGAGGTGAAAACAACAGGGGTTTTCCAGTTCTTCAATTTAGGACATCAATGTTTCTGACAGAATACAACACTGGAACCAACCTTGTTCAAAATCCATTCAACCATTACCAGCTTAGCTTTTGTTGTACTAGATATATTCTCCTCCTTTTTATTCAATTCTTCTTCAAGAGCATGGCTCTGAGCTCGGCCACATCGATCTCCTTGGCAGAGTTCTCGGGTCTGTAGCATCCGGTAACCGGGTCGGGTACCCATGAAACCTTCTCTTTAGCAATTTTAGGTATAACTTACTTATTGTTAAAATCGTCTCATTTGATTTTTATTTAATTGAGTTTAGAAATTTTAGGTATAACCTACTTATCAAATAAATAAAAGATAAGGAAAAAATGAAATTTATTATTAAATGTTAATTCAGAATAAAATAATTTGAGTAAAATTTTCTGTTATGTAAACTTTTGTATGTTCAAATATTTAATTTAATAATATATACTACTAACAATTAAAAGTAGATGTGGAAACTCGTTGGGAATCCCCCAATAGAAACTTTACGCTTAAATATTGACGGGTCTCGGTTGATCTTGCAATAGAGGATCAGCTGATGGTGTGCTTTGGGACCATTTGGTAGTTTCATTGTGGGTTTTAGTCGGAGCTTGGGCACAATCACTGTGATACAATCCGAGCTTTGGGGGTTGAAGGTTTAAGCTTAATTTGAGGAAGAGACTTTCGTCACTTGACCCTTCATATTGACAGTTTCCACTCTAATTATTAATCAATGTGACCGGTTTCCTTAAATGATTGGGTGGTTCCACGCGTTCGTTTTCAGTCAGACATGGCATCTTCCCATTGTCTTTAGTGTCAGACAATTCGGTGAATTCACCGCATCTTTGCTTCCATCACCATATTATATAAGCCCCACCCAGATATAATAAATTATTAAGGAAATCAAAGAATATCACAATTTGTTGGTTACTTACCTAACATCTCACAATGCCCTGACTAATACAAGACAATAATTTAATTGATTAAATCTTTCTTCTTACTATTTAATGTTTTTTATGCCCCAAGTGTCCTGTTATAATGATGTGACTATTAGTTAATCAATTTAACGTATTAAAATTAATAACCACCGCTATAAAATTAAATTAAATTGCAACCTAATGTTGGGTTAATGTCTCTTCACGGTTTCGAGTACGTGATGACATACTGTTTTTGTTTATTATATGAAGCAAATAACTAGAGCCCTATGTTCTTCCGCTAGGAGTGAATCCTTTCAGAATAAAGTTTTGTATGATTTTATCGTCAGGAGTGATATCTAATATATTATTGATTTAATTTATTTATATAGTTATCGTTTTATGATTTAAATATAAATATAAATATTATATTATTGATACAAAAATTAGACTGGTCGACTGTGAGAAGTTTATCCCTTTTAATTTTGAGAGAAGAATAATAATTGGTGAAAGAATCATTGCCGATGTATTTCAAGGAGGAAGAAAAATGTATTATCAAAAGAAAGAAGAAGAAGAAAAAAACAGTAAAAAGATATTCGCCATCTTTAGAGTTGTATTATAAGTGTTTATATTATCCTTCAGTATAGCTGTCAAGGTTAAAATCACTAAAAGTATTTATAAATCGATAGATTAAGAAAATTTAGTGATCAAATTGAATTTTGTTTTAATAAATCGAATAAATTTGCTAGATGTATTGTCTACATTGTCTATACATTGTAGTTACCTCATAAAATATTAACAGATTTTAGTTTATTTAACTTGACAAAGATTAAAAGGCTTTCAAAAGTTTAAGTTCAAAAAAATATAATTGTTTATTCACATACTTCCTATTGTTCTTTTATTTACCATTAACCCTATAATTAACCCAAACTTTTAAATTTTTAATTGTTCTTTTATTCAGATCGTAGGTAAAATAATAGGGTAAACTATGCATTTAATATCTAAACTATCAGTTTTGATATGTTTTAGTGTATAAATTTTCAATTTTTTCAAAACCATACTTAACGTTTAGTTTTTGTTTCATTTTAGTACCCGTTCATTAAAAATTAAACGTATTTAGTATCTAAACCATTAGTTTCGGTCCGTTTTAATACCTAAAATTTCATTTTTTTCCCTTCTTCAAAACTTAACATTAATTTTTTAACGGATACTTAAATGAAATAAAAACTAAGCTTTAAGTATGGTTTTAAAAAAATTAAAAATTTAAATACTAAAATATATCAAAATTGAGAGTTTAAGTACTAAATGCACAATATCAAATTGCAACCTAATGTTGGAAGGCCGCTATTTTTGCATTTAATAAGTGAAATCTAGTATATTAAAGATTTATTTTGGCCTAATTGTAATTTATTTGACAATATATTTTCAAAGAAAAAAGAAGAAAAGGAAATATAATTGATTATTATAACATATTACATCATGAAATCTATTGTCTATATCGTCGACAAAGAAGAGAGGAGTAAGCAACAGGGTTTTTCCAGCTCTTCATTTAGGACATCAACGTTTGTGTTTTCTGTGACAGAGATTACAACACTGGAACCAACATTGTTAACGATCCATTCAACCCTTACCAGCCTACCCTTTGTTGTTCTATATATTTTATTTATGTTTTCTTCTTCTTCTTTTAGTTAGTTCTTCTTCAAGAGCATGGCTCTGAGCTCGGCCACATCGATCTCCTTGGCAGAGTTCTCGGGTCTGTAGCATCCGGTAACCGGGTCGGGTACCCATGAAACCTTCTCTTTAGTTCCTCCTGCCATCTCTTCCTTCACCGCCGCCGCGGCGCTCCTCCCTGTTCCTCCTCTTATGCCACTCGACACAGTCCCTTGTGATGCCGCCGCATATCCTCGTCTGCACAAACAAATCACCATTAAATCTCTACTCGTCTTCATTAATAGAAAAAGAATAAACAGAGCAATGGAAATGAAAATAAGAAGGAAAGAAGAAAAAGAAAGAACTCGTGGGTACCTGGAGATAGCGTTAGAGATTCCATCAATAACGAAAGTAGAGAAAAGCTTAGCGTTCAAGAAAGAGCGAGCCATTTCTGCCTTCTTCTTCTTTTCTTCAATTCGAACTTCGGATTTTATCAAACTTCAAGGCTACGGCAGAAAAGCTTTTCTTTTCTCGAAATGAAAATAAACCTTCTGCAGTAGCTCTAGCAGGGAAGAAGAAACTGTACCTCTCTCTAGAACATGGTATGAAGATGTGGATTCTAAGAGCGGCCCTCGTTGGGCTTATATAGGGATGAAGAAATACAAAAAGACGCGTGAGGAAACGAATACGAAAACAAGACGCCGTCAACGCACTGTTAATGGTTCTTCTTCTATTGCCACCTGCCTATTTTTATTTTTTTTGAATAACAATAATTGAAAACTGCAAGATTATGTTAAATCATCCCAACATAACCCTAAATAGCTAATTATGAAAATGATAATTATTTTAAATTATTTATTAAAATAAACTCATTAAATGATTTAAATGGTAAAAAATAATATTATTCTCTCTGGAGGTGACACTATCAATCCAATTTATTACATTTACAACGCTCAAATTAAAACCTCTAATATTATTTAAGGAATTTAAATACAATTTGTTTCATTTACGTCTAAATTTAAACCTCCAAAGTTGTTTAAGAAATTTAATATTTCATCTCACAATATTAGCTAATAATCTATTAATTAAATTCAAAATATTATATTTAAACACTTTAAAATATTATATTTAATCGATGTTTAATTTGATAATATAAACCTAACATTGAATATATGTTCATTTTTTAAACGTCTAAATATAACTATTTAAATAAATATATATTGAGTGATTAAAGACAACATTTCCATCTTTGCAAATGAAAAAGCTCCTGGAAACCACATTTGATCCATCATATTTTTATACATAACATGAAAATGCGTTATTTTTGTAAATAATGTAAAATATGTGTTATTTCAATAATTAAAGAATATTTATATTTTGGTAATTTAACCAAATAAGATTAGTAGGCCTTCATTGACCCGTTGTTTGCCTTTGATAAGGGTCAAAATTTGTGGATTGGGAGCGTTTGATGATCGGACGGGTGAGAGACATGAATGATTGAGTGCGGCGGACTTTTTGTTCAATCAATATCAAAGCATGCGAAAAAGGTCGGTTCAGCGAGGAAAGGTCGCCGTGAGTGCGATAGTCTTTTCTTGGTAGACGGATCTGTGGCTGTTTAATAGGGATTGATCCACGTGTAGAACCACCCTAGTTGGAAAGAGGGCGGCGGAGTATGAAGTTGCTTCTTGTTCTGGAAATAACTGGCCGTCCAATGTGTCACGGCCTCATTGTTCAGTTGGCTGATCTTTTTGTCTTCAATTTTGTCACAGAAGTCATTTAAATTATAAATGCCCAACTGCCATGGTTGATTCATTCATATTTTTTTAATTATATCCAAGTACGAATAAGTTTTCAATTAATTAAATTAATTCATATTAATTGATTAATATTTTACTGATTGAATAATCAATTATATTAATATTTTAAAATAGGAATAATAATAAAAAGAGTGGTAGCGACTAGCAACCACATTAAGATACCGGTGACAGGCTGGAGTGTTTGACATAGGGTGATGTCGAAGGAATCATATCAGCCTTTCCGATCAATTTCCCGTGATGCCTTTCTTCTTTAGCTCTCCGCCTCTGATTTTACAATTTATCTGCTTTAAAATTGCAAGTGGTCAGCTGGTAAAGATAATGTCAACAACCTTCACATGCATTTACTATAATCGACTTTATTATAATATTGTACTATATTCGTAATATCAAATATTAATTACGAGTCGAGCCATATATTAATATTTTGCGTATTAATAGAAATTTTAAAAAAATCGGTATACACGTATACAATATACAATCAAAATTGTAGGCATAAAAATAAAAAATATCTTTAATTATTTGATTAAATAATATTTTAATCTTTATTTTTTCAATATTTTGATCGTATCATTTTATTTTAAGATAAAACTCCATTTGATGAAAAGTGTTCGTTAAAAAATAATAAATGTGTTAGAATATAATTTTTTTTGTTTTAAAAAAATGTTTGAACAAAATGTTTAAAAAATAATAATGATTAAAATGACAATTTAATTAAACAATAGAGTTTTTATCATAAAATAAAAGGTTTAGAAACTAAAAAGTTAAAATATTTATTTAATTACATATTAAAGATATTTTTTGATATTATATCAAAGGATGATTCTTCCACATTCGACAAGCACTGAGAATCACTAATGATGAGTACCATTAATTTAATTTATAAAAATTTAAAATTCTAAAAGACTCGACGTATAATTATAAATTAGTCAAGAATAAAGGTGAATTAGTTAAAATAAAATATTTATTATATTATTTTACATAATCTTTTTGGGTAAACTATATCAGTGATCACCTAACTATTGCACCTTTTCATTTTGACTACCATTTTTGAAAATTTATCAATAAGGTCATTAAACTATTTAAATGCATTCAATCAAGCCTTTTGCTATTAACAATTAACGGAAGTGATAACATGGCGGTTAATAAAATTTGTATAATTACACATTTAATCCTTATTACTTACACAATTTATCAAATTGATCATAATTTTAAATTAATTCAATAAACTTTATCCTCCAATCATATAACTTCAAAATCTTTTATATTGTAATATTAACAAATGATACACAAAGAATTATAATTTGATGATTCTATCATGTCAATTATCAATTGTCTAATGACTAAATAGATATTAAAAAATAAATTTTTTATTCGAATAATATTAATTAATTGTTAGAAGTTCATCAATGATAAAACAAATAATATTTTACTTACTTTTTTAAGAAAATTTTAAAATATATATTAATAAACATCAAAATTGTAACTCAATCTTTATGAGACATATAGAGATATAGATATAGATATAAAAACAATATTAAATAAAAAATCAAAATAATAGAAAATATTATAAGTATTGTCACTTGAAAAAAATACCATGTGAAATTTGGTTTATTGTATACATATCAATATCAGCAACTACAAAATCATCTCAAACAAGTTTCGTTGTTGATCTATCAATTTTTTTATTTCCCTTATTTATTTTAAATCATCAAATTATAATTCTAAATGTGAAGTTATATGATTGGAGGATAATTTTCTATGTATCATTTGTAAATATTTCAATATAAAAGATTTTGAAGTTATATGATTGAAGGATAAAATATATTGAATTAATTTCAAAATATGACCAATTTGATAGATTGTGTAAGTAATAATGACTAAATGTATAATTACACAAATTTTATTAACTATCACGTTAACATTTCTATTAATTGTTAACAACAAATGACTTGATTGAATGCATTTAAATAGTTTAGTGATTTGATTGATAAAATTTCAAATATAGTGGTTAAAATGAAAAAAAAGACAATAGTTAGGTGTCACTATTATAGTTTACCTAAAAAGATAATAAAAATAATATAATAAATATTTTTATTTTAACTAATTTACTTTTAAATTTTTAACTAATTTATAATTATAAGTTGAACTCTTAAAATTTTAAATTTTTATAAATAAAATTAATAGTGATCAACGATGTTTGTCGAGTGTTGTGATTTTTTTTATATCAAATGAGTATTAACAAATAATTTACGAGAAATGTGAATAATTTTCAATAAATTAAATAAATATATGTAGTCGAGTGAGTTGAAAGAATATAAAAATATATTTATAATTTATTCATTGAAATGAGTGGTCCGTGGCTCCGTGCATTGTACGAGTTTAAACTAGTTTTTTTTAAGGCTTAAAGTAGTTGTTGGATGAAAGAAAAGCCACAAATTCAGTAAAGAAAACATTCTAAGGATCCCTCGTCTCTCTCGAAAGCCATTATTGGTATACCTGAGTGTCAATAAAGCCAAAATAACATTAAAAAAAACATTACTCAACGTATATATTTCAATGTATGCCCGAAAGTCAACGCAATAAGCAAAGAACTACTCCAAGTCAAACTAAATAAAAACACACAAACAAGACTTTAGATTTATTCCTCTCGGTTCACTCTTGCATAAATAACATTTTTTTTAAAAAAAAGTACTGAATTGGTAATGGAATTAGTAATACCATTAATTTTATGTTTAATAATGATTAAATAAAAATAAAAATATATTTTTAGTTGGATTGACTAATGTTTTAGTCATTTTTTTAATTTCTATTGGTGTACAATAACTCAATATATATATTGAACTCATCAAGTGACATATGTGGTTAAGGAGAGTGTTGTTCTCTTTGGATATCCGAATTAGAGTAGTTATATATGTAGAGTATGTTGAAAATTCAATATTAGCCTAAATAAGTTCACACCTAAATTAATTTGATGTCATTGCTTACATCAATTTAGTTTTGATGTCATTGCTTACATCAATTTAGTTAGGTGAAAATTAAGTATTTTTCTCATGTTTTAATTTCAATGGTTTAAATTATTTAGTGATTATTTTAATGAGTGATTTAGATTGTTTCTTGTAACCTATAAATACCCTACTTGTATTTGAGTTTTATCATCCAACAATCAAAGCTTAATTATAAGCATCTGAAAGCTTTATTAAGAGTTCTTCCCTTTTACAATTTTGTGAGATTATTCTAAAGAGAGTTTTTATTCTTCTCGATCAATTAGAGTTTTTTACTCTATTTTGATTCTACAATTGGTATCCGACCCACGTTTTTAAGGTCTCTTGAAATTCCAAGTATGTTCTGTGGCTGCAGTTTTTAACTGATCTTCCACATCAGAAAAGATTTCTTGAGATTATTGTCAGGGTTATTACAAAGGAGCTTCTTTGTGCTTAGAGTAATTTAGTACTCTGCACGTTTGTTACTCAAGCTTGTTCGATGTACTCAAAGCCTTGCCGTTAAGAGGTGTGATCTTCAAGTAGTTGGAGGAATCAAGAAGCTCAACAACAAAAACTACAACACGTGGGTAACATGTATTGTAACACCCCCAACCCGTATCCGACCCGGATACGAGTCCGAAGTGTCACATTGACTTTTCAAACATTTATTCGTATAAAATAGTGAGTAATTTAAAAACTTTTATAGCATTTAACTTATTCAAAACGTTTACAAAATATA